AGAAGCTTCAAGCTAGGTTGTTGTGTTCTTAACATTTATATGATAGAAAGTGTTATATGGAAAAACACAAAGTTATATATCTATCAAAATTCAGTTCCTTTCTTAGCCATAGAAACCCACAAGTTGACATTGAGCTAGTCACACTGTCTCAGATCAGAAGAAAGCAAAGGCAAAATCAAATCTTGCCAAGAAAAGCCTGCGATAAGCAACCTTAGATGTGTTGTCAAAGGCTTTCATGGCCAGAATCACTGGGTTGTTGTGAGTTTTCTGGACTGTCTGGCCATGTTCCAGAAGCATTCTCTCCTGACGTTTCACCCACATCTATGGCAAGACATCATCAGAGGTTGTGAGGTCTGTTGGAAACTAGGCAAGTGAGGTTTATATATCTGTGGAAGTCCAGGTTTGGAGAAAGACCGCTTGTCTGTTGGAGGCAAGTGTGAATGTTGCAATTGGCCAGCTTGATTAGCATTGAATATACTGCTATTAATTGCTCTCCAGGTATTTACATGTTTTCTTCTCAATACTAAACAGTTTGGGTCCAGACTATTTGACGGACCACATCTCCATCTATAAGCATGCCCAGGCACTGTGATCGGTGGATGAGACCCTGCTCTCGGTCCCACCTCCATCTCAAGCACATCCACTGGGAACGAGAGAAAGGGCCTTCTCTGTGGTTGCCCCCTACCTCTGGAACTCCCTCCCAAAGGAGATCAAAATGCCCCCCTCCTTGCTTCATTGAAGAGGTCTTTAGGGGACTGGTACCCATTGATCATAAAAGGCATCCGGACTGATTGAAATGTCCCAGAATCTGTTCTTGTTCTTTCCAGTTTTAGACTGGGTTAAAATAAACTGCTTTGGGTAGCTGGAATAAAAGGTCTCTAGCTGTACTGGGTGCTGAAAGAAAACATTATGAGTTAAACAAAATATGTATGGATTTCTAAAATATATTAAGAAACAATAGGAACAGAATCTGGAACTGTCCGTTTTTTCTAATTTATGTGGATGAACTCTATGTGGTCTTTCTCTA